CTGAGCAGGTTGTAGTAGGGAAACAGGTAACTCTGCTGACCTGAATAAGTCAGCAGTCATTCTAAGTCTGGCGATTTTTAGAAAGAAAGAAGAAAAAAGCAGCAGCATTTGTGCAAGCCCCTTTTCCTCCAGAGGCCTCACTTTCCCCTCCCAACCTTTGTCTCTTGTTTCTTTATTTCACAGAGGCTGCAGGGCAGGGTTTTCCTCCCCTGTGCTTGCCCAGAGCTTAGCACAATGCCTGACCTGTCAAGCCCCAAGCATCCAGAGGAGACCCTGAGGACTGGCCCCTGCATGCACTTCCTTGACGCCAGACCCAAGCCTCAGCCACCTCTCCTCCGCTCCATGACTGCTGGCTTGGTCTGAGTGATGGTGAATAGGTGCTGGGCTCCCTGCTCCTGCAGAGCCATCCCTGCTGCAGCACAGCTCCACACCCCTGGCTCTCACAAGCCCTGCCGCTGCTTTCTCCATTCCCTGTTAGATGGCCTAACATGGTTGTGTCATCTTCCGAGAAATAAGAAACGCAGGTAGATTGCAGTGGCAGCATCGATGCTTCAGAAATGTTTTAAAACACACACAATTTAGCACTTGTTTAATCAAACAGGAGTTTCCACGTTAGGTGGAGAGCGCTGCGGCAAATCATTCTCAAATGTTTTCCCTTAAATTTCTTTACATGTGCCCATCCATCAGAAAAACCCGTAGGGCGCACGCGGTACTACACTCTGCATCTACATGGCTAGCGTGTGAAAGTGTGAGATATTTCTAACCTCAGAGGACACAGAGCCCAGAAAAAAAACAGGCGTCAAAGCAGCCTACATTCAGCCCACATACAAATCCAGAGACAGAGACGGCTTAAACTGTGCCATGTCCTGGAATAAGAGAAATAGCGTTGCCTTTGGCAGCTGAGTAAAAACACCGAGACGCTTTAGGGGGAAAGAAGAAAAACCACACACACAAAGGTATCCCCACTGATGCCAGATTCCACTACTGGCTCAAGAGTGGTCCAAGGGACAGTTTGCATGCTCAGCACAAATCCTTTCAAGAAGGGCATGCTTAAGTCTCAAAACCAAGTAAGCTAACCTTAGCTGCACTCAAAGCCGACAGATTTTTTAAGTGCAAGAAGAGCTGGGTCAAGCAAACATGCAGAGTTAGAGGGAATATTAAAATGGAATATTAAATATTAGAATATTAAAATGAGGTGATGCATAATTTGGCAGGATTTTAACCATCTCTTTATAACTTGAGCAGAAAAATGTATTTTAAGCTTCCCTCTAAATAAGCAGGTCAGGCTTTATTTTGAGCAATAAAAGCAAGATTCAAATTAGAAGTCATGCTATGGCAAAAGAGTCTTCTTAAGCCCTTGTTTTAGACTGTCTGCTTTCTGGGAGTGAAGAGAAGGGACACTGGTTTGGAGGTAAAACCTTGACCTTCCCTCTTAGCTGTGAGCTGCCAGAAAGCACTCTGGGGTCTCTGGAGTTAAGTCACTTGATGTGTTTTTTCCTTATCCCATTACAGCATTGCTTATTTTCCCCATAACACTCTTATTTTGTAGTTGCTATGACAGTTTGCAGCATTACTTACACTGCTGTACGCATGCACAGTTCAAGAGACAGACTTCTTTCTTTTCCAGGATTTAATAATCTTAGGCCTTGAGTAGGAAAATTAGACTCAGTCCTGCTGGCTACCTGCACTAGTAGGCTAGTTAGATGCTCTAATCCAGTCTAATTCTGATGCAATATCATCCTCAGGCATAGATACAGCTCACAACCTGCCCATTACAGAATGGGGACTAACCTACGAGATGAACCATAACAGTAAATAAAAAGCCAGCGCACTCAAGGCTGCATTGTGCTCCCCCCTCAGTGCGTGGAAGCAATTTCGAGGGAGTTTACAAGTTAATGCAGAGAGACACTAGGGCTTATGGGGTCGCATGCTGTCTGATTAACAGGCAAAGAGAGTCAGTCCCATCCTTTAGCACGTAACCTTGAGGGCATACGTTACTCCTTCTGACTCCCCTTGAACACGTTTGTTGCCAAAGCTGAAGGGCTCCTCAGGAATACAGCAGCTCTGCCAAATCCCCCAGAAAGGGCTATAAAGACCAAGCACATCTGATCCTTCCAACTAGTCCAGAAGGGCTCCCATTTGGACACTAGTAAAACCTGAAATAATTATTGTAAACCTCTTTTGGGGAGGGGAAACAAGTGGCTGTGCATGTGTTCTCCAGTTTTTAATCAGGGTGAACCAAAGAGAGACTCAAATCACATTTCTGTGGGCACTGTCCACTTGCCAAGTCACTGCTGTTCCCCATCCCTTGCCTAACGAACTGAAGCACTAGGGCCAGGTCCCCCGGGAAGTCAGTCACTCTCACCGCAACAGGTACCCAGGAGCTATCAGCTTATCACAGCTGAAAATTTAGCAGTTCCACATCCATCCTTGCCTTCAATACTTCATTTTCCAGTGGGCCTGTCCCTTCTTTTGTCCTCACACAGAGGAGCACTGCTGCAAAAGCTACAAACATACCATAATATCCATAGTCTTAACATCTGACCCACAGCAACGTGCCTGCAATCCTCCTAATGCTTACCTGATAAACTCATGCTTTACAGAAGCAATTATGTTCCATCTATATTGCCTTACATTAGTGTACTCTGGAGGGCTGGAGCACTCCATCCCCCTCCTGCCTCCAAAAGTCACTCAAAATATAAAGAGAAACTGGATATTAACTGGCTCAGCAGGAGGAACCACTTGACATTCCTTAGCCAGAAGAGGCTCAAAGGCAGGTTATGGTAAATTGGAGTGGACAATCGCGGAGTCGGTTCTTGCTGCGGTACAATTTGTTGTCTCCGTGCAATAACCTGCATTCGGAACGCTCTAGCCCAAGGGTACCCACTGTTCATAAATCAGCAGTAGGGTTGTGGGGACAACCTACAGGGCTGGGCTTCCTCAAAGATTTATAACCTCCCCGCTATCAAATGGTCTGTGAGCTAAGCAAGTACAATACTGCCTTGTTGCCTTCTGCGCTGGAAACCCCCGTGAACCTCACACCAGTCTACGTTCTTCCGTGTCCTGACTTCAGAGGAAACGTACAAAACTCCCATTGATCAACCAGCAGAGCTGTTCGGTCAAAGCTAATGCTGGTCTTGTTTGTGCCAATCTTCTCCACTCTGCTGGTTTTCTTTTGTTTATCTCCTGCACCTGGGTTAATTGCTGCAATTGAGTGATTGGGGAGGTGCAATGGGATGTAAATTAAGTTGGAAAAAAGGAAGGGGAAAGACCTGGGTGGGCTGCAGAGGCGTTAGGAAAAGCGAGACCAGCTGCATCCTGCAGAAACCCAGCTCAGCTGAGAAGTATAATACGCACTTTGAAAAGTTACCAGTGCAAATTCAATAGCAAGAGTTCGGATTGTTGGTGTTTTTGCTGACTGCTGCAGGGAGTCCTGATAAGCCCCCTCAGCATCCTGGACACACAGCACACACCCCATGCTCCAGGGAGTTTGTCCTGGCCACCCCACTGGTCCCTCTGGCAGCACAAGCCTCGGGCTGGTCTGTACTCCAAGACTGGGAATGATCAGGTCAGCTGACAGAGCTCCAACTTAGGGATTTATTACCAAGTACGAGCAATGTTAGAAGCTGCCCAGCTTGCTTGTCAGAATTAATACACAAGCACTCCCTCAGTGCTGCTCTGAAAGCTCATCGATGCAGGCAGGGCTTTCTCCTGCCTTCATCCTTCTTCGAGAGGTGCCAGGAACAGCAAGGCATAGCTAGGTTAAGCACATGGATGGGTCTAGATTGCACTATTGAGGCCAATAGCCTTTATTTCTAGATCTAAGAAACAAGAGTCAGCTTTCCCTGTTACCTTAGCCCAGTTTTCCCCTCCTCCTGCAAACCTGGAAAAGTGAATCAACTGGTTTTCTCCCAGTATCATTGAGTCTCAGTGCAGAAGAAATTTCTTAGCTGTGCTAGTAGAGAAGCATTTTCAAAGGCATCAGATTTTTGGACGCCTGTCACTCCCAGGAGAGAGTCGCCACTTGGCAAAGAGAGATTACAGAGTACAACAGGACCTAAAAGAGCCTTTCCCTGCCACAGATACTAGCACCTTTCAATGACAAACCTGCTGCTTGAGCTCTTCTCTGAGTAAAAGCCTCACTGTCCAGAGTCCATTTCTTGCTCCTCTAGGATGGTTTCCCACAATATTCTGCGCTGATCCGCTGTTACTATGAAAAGCCGATGACAACCAGTCCATGCTCACATCAGAGCACCTATTCCTCCCAAAACTACCAAGTAAGCAGCATTGTCACTTCTGGAAATGCAGCTAGCCTTAGCTGCTATCTTCCATGTCACATAAACCTCTACGTCCTGGACCAGATGTTTAGGGATTGCTTAGAGTGCAACAGTTGCTACCATGGAAGGAAATTAAATTCTTTTCCTCACTTCCCATTTGAAATAGAGCCCACAGCTACACTCTAGCTTTGGCACCAGTACAGCCCTTACCCTACAATTAGCTCCAAGCAGCCACTTCAGAAAGGCAGAAAGCAACACAGACTTTGGGAACATCAATTGGTCCTCATCCCAAACACAGAGAGACCTAAAACAGACCTCCACCCATCATGAGGGGTTTGGACGGAGACACTTTTTCTATTAAATCATCTTCTCAATTAGCACAACTGAATTAAGCTCGTGGCACTATTAGGGGTTGTAGCTTCAAGCATTTGAAGGATGCTTCAAGCGTGTTAAGGATCAAGTCAAAGTTCTTAACTTCCAAGCTGTCTTGAATAAAACTGCATTTTAAGATTCCTATTTTTTAAAACAATCAAAAAGAAAAAATTTTTGCTAATGCTTTTTAAAACACATTGTAGATAAAAATCTCTTTATAGTGGCTCACATTTCGAGGCTTGCTTTTTTGAGAAATGCACACACATAGAGCCCTGGCATCACTGTGTGCTAACTCCTGCTTTCGCGTCAGGTTAACATAGTCTCCTCTTTTCAATCAGCACTTACAATAAGATGTGGAGAGATGCCCAGAAAGAGCTTGACATCCAGCTCCAGAGAGAAAGAGAAGAGTTCGTCCAGCCAGAGAAGGACCGCGTGAAAGTATTCAGGATGTTAGCTGCTTCCTACATCAAATACATGCAAATCTTCCGTAACTTGGAGACAGTCCATGACCAACTCCTTCACCGGCAGAAACGGACAGTTATTCGGCAAGGGCTGGATGGCGTGATTGGCCGGATCCTGGAGCTGAAAAAAGAGATGGTGGAGCTGGAGAAGTCAGAGTTCCATTACATGGATAATATCCTGGAAGACCTAAAGCTTCTCCCGGTAGGTCTACCTCTATTATGAGCAAATTCATAGGAATTTTGCCTATCCTGTGTTTGAAAGACGGTCACATTTAATGGCAGTAAAGTTCTAACAAGTGATTTAGTTTCCTGCACATGTGTGTACAGGGTGATCCGTAATTATGGCATTTTTAGTAAAGATCAGAGTATATTTGGTCTATGATGAGCATTAGATATTGGAGCAAAATTTTAAAAGCAGATATGTTTGACCAAATATTTCTGCATCTCTGCAGCAGCACAGGCTCTGCGAATCTTTCACTTGCACATGTCCTAGCATGAAGTCATATTAGCTTAGACGGCTTCACAGCAGCTTGACTCTGCCCAATTTTAGTGGGGGATTAGATAGAAAATGGGCCACTGATGACCAAGCTACAGGCCACTTCAGTCTGCCCTTTGCATCACTCTGAATCAGCCTGCCCTTGGGCCTCTTCCAGAGATGAGAGGTGATGCTAAAAGTTGCAAAGTCTGGTCTCCTAGTTCATAGCACAACAAACTACTAAAATGAGAAATCTGAGACAAGTCTTGACTCATAAAGGAGGCAGGAGCTGGGAGCGTATTCGACATCCAGGGTTCAGGACTGCCCGATGCAAAAGCAGCCCCCTGACAGCCAGCCTGCTAAACCAGATGGAAACGACAAGGCAAAGTCTTGAACCTGCGCTCTCTAAAAGCAGGATGGAAAATTATCTGCACAAAGGTGGTTACTTCTCACGCAGACAGCTCCACCTATTGTTAAATTTAGCTGTCGCTGCTAACAGCTTTTCTAAAGAAAGAATTGTAGCTGAAATTACTGCTGGTTTCAGGATCCCAGTTATAACACGAGGTAGGTTGCCTAATCTCATTATAGCATTATTTTGAGAGTTGCAAACATGCAATTGCATGTGTATTTCACTGACAAATTTAGGATAGTAATTGCATGCACTTTCACCAGCTCTTTATGTTCTGCATTAACCATGGCAAAGAGCTATTTTAAACTGTCAGAAGGCATACTGGAGAGTATAAACACATCTCTGGTGATATTGATCCTTCAAATCATAGTTCAAAATCATTAAGCACTGCTGTTTTCATGACTTATCATTAAATCCACCTGCAGCAAAAAGTTGGCAAGTCTGAAAAGTCATGCTTGACATCTATTAAAAACAAGCATGAATTCAAATTCCTGCACCACACCTTAATTTTAAGAAGGCATGGCATACCTACCCAGTACAAAAGGAAAAAGAAAAAAAAACACCACACTGAAAAGATTTCAGGGTTTTTCAAAGAAAACATTATTTTCCATAATAGACAGGAGTACAGATTTATAGGATTTTTTTATAAGGTAATCCCATATTTTTGGTTCCAAAACAAAATTACTGGCCAGTACTTGACAAATAACTGCTGTTTCTTAAAGAATGTGCCCACGAAGGATATCTCTAGCCGTTCCTTTTACTGTATTATCATGGGCTAAAACCCAGCAGAACTGTAGGCAGAGAACACAACAGAGGAGTCTCATTTTGTGTCTCATGCAATGATATTGCATTCTTTTTACTGTATCATTGTAAGGCCAAGCTTCATCTTTCTTTAGTTGCATGCCTTGTGTTTTTGTACAGTCAGCTTCCAACAGTCACTCCATTTCCTGGGCTAATTGTAAAGGTATGTGGATACACAAATCCCATGCTGCTAAAAAGCTGCAAATTTGACTTGAGGTTAAGCATTACAAGCCTAACTTTCCAATGCTGGGCCTCAAAAAGAGATTATGAAGAGAAGCAGGCTCCCTGCTCCCCACCCCTTCCAGCCCCAGCATTATGGCTTTGATCTTTTACAGTCAGTAAATTCCCAGTCCAGAATCACTTGTAATTAAGGCCCAGGTTAGATATCACCCCTACACTGACTCGCACTGCTACCTGACACCATAAAAGCCCTCTCATCCAGCGCAAGGGTGTCCAGACAAACCTCTTGATTTCTCATACCTAAAGACAGCCAGATTTGTCATCTATCCTAGAGCAATTCGCACTCTTCAAGTACAACATATAATCATTTCCATCAACAGTCAAGGATGTTAGAAGGTGCAAACAGGGAGCTTAACAAGATAAATATTCATAAACTTTAGCAGACCAGACTTCTGCATTGATAAAATCAACAGGGAGAAACACAGTCCCTCCTTGGAAGCTTTCTTATGCTGCCGTAATAGGGATGTCCCAGTCTGCAGTGTGCAGCTGAGGGAATTAGTAATGAAATCTTTACGTTGGCAGCTCACAGTGGCTGTTTGCATTGGCCACAGCATGCCCTGCAATTTTTTTCTCTAGCAATTGGAAGGCCCTAGAGCTCACTAACTGCACGTTCACCATACGCCCGTGTCAAGGCAGGAGCGGTGGCTTGTTCAGTACAGCCAGCACTTTTCTCCTCTGGATCTGTCCACACTAGAGGTGGCAACGGATCGAGTCAAAGGTCTCCCTGAGCGGGTCAAAGCCCAGCAGTTTTCTGCAGCAGACAGAACACAGAGCACTGCTAGTGCAGCATCAAGTTCTTGTACCTGTCTCAGGCTCCTGGGGCAAAAGGACCAAGTGCCCACATATACCTGGGGACAAATTATTGTGTGACTTGACTGTGCAACTCCTCATGAGCAGCACAACAGGGTAACTGTACTGCCTGTCTCCTCCTGTCCCTCTGGGCGAATCATTTGTTTGATAAGATATTCCAGATGTTGCTAAAACATCATAGGGAGCACAGCAGCAGTATGATCCAGACCTACGAAGACACATTCCACTCACTGCCAAAGAAGTATACTTACCAGCAGTTATTCTTGAAGAATTGTCTCCAGTCTTCAATACATAGAATAGGTTATGTCACTCTGCAGCATCTTAACTTTTGGGTTAGTTTTTTTTGTCTGACTCTCTGTCTCTTTTTAATTTCTCAACAAGAGTAAAATTCTACAGAAGAAGCATCAGTAAAAATGTGAATCAGTTACATCTTTTTAATGAAGGAAATGAGTAAAGACAGCCACTTCTAATCACACCTGATTTTGAGAGGTGACTGAGATATCACAGTCACAGACAGTAACAGTTTGTCTACAGGTAGGAATACCTGCAGACAAACAGAATTATGCCTTGGTTCCTTGCAATGGTTAAAAAAAAAAATGCATGAAAACAGATCTATTTTTCATGTTGATTAAAAAAAGAAGTGGAATGATTGTACAACCAGAGGTATTCAATTTGGTGGAAATCATGTCTAAATTTCCGGCAACCCTGCCAAATATTTTAACAGTTTGATAATATAATTGAGCCATTATAAAAAGAAAGATTTCTGGGCTGCTGTGGTTCAGAAACTGAGTTGATTTATTTGTTTTTGTTGAATTAAGCCTTAAGTAATTGCAAAGTAACAGCTCAGCAGCTGTTACAGAGGTCAAATTCCCCAATACTCCAAAATATTCAACAATCTCAGTCCAATTTAATTGCTTTGTAGAGGTGTTCAATTAATAAGTAATATGATTTTAATGCAGTTCTAAAAAGCTCATGACTATTTCTTCTTTTAGGAAGACATAGAAGTACCTATCCCAAGGTATTTCATTAAAGAAAACCTGGAAGTCCTGCAGCAGAGGGAGAAAAACCTCAATCAGATTTTGCTCAATGCTGGACTGCAAACAGAGGTAAGCATACCACATACCTACATAATAACATGCTGAACTTTTTTAGCTTATAGCCACACTTGTCTGAACAGGAGCCACTGAAGTGAGAAGTATTTTTATAGTAGTTAGGAAGTAAAAGTCTGTTTACAGACAAGGCACAAATAGAAAGTATCATTTAATTTTCCTGTCTAACAATACCCAGTCACATCTTGAGTCTGGTGAAGACTGCAATGAATCAACCCTGCTGTATGTGTGCGAGTGTCAGAGAAAGGGCAGCACTTTGGCCAAGTTTAGTAGGTGCTTTATTTGTCTAGCTAACTCTCATCACGTAATTAGTCCTACTGAAATCAAGTTGGGCTTAAGTTTTACTGAGCCAGGACTCCTGACTGGAAGGGGCAAAACTCAAGAGTTCACGTCAGCACAACTGTTAGCATTCAGTTGTTTATAACCTCTGAACAATGACTGCAGTCTCTTCTGTACAGCTAGAGAGCTGCAGCTGCTAGGAGGAGTAGAAAATTGAGTTTTGGCAGAGCAAAAGCCATTACAAAGAAGTGCATGAGCGCTTCCAGTAGAGGCTGTTCTGGATTTTATATACTTCTGACCTTTTGGAAATGGCGCATTGCCTACAAGCAGTCATTGCTAACCCCTTGAAATAAACAACTGTGCCTCCATGTCTCGACAATGTAGATTCATAGATTCATAGAGACAGTCCCGATCAGACCGCTTAGTCAAACTGCTGCGCTGCCCCAGCCCTTGAATTCTCCACCAGTAACTGTGCTGTTGAGGGAAGGCTGCGCATTGATCCCAGAAAGCAGCGGAGGGAAGGTTCCCAGGGTGAGAAATGGTCCCAGTCAGACAGAGGCAGCCTGCAGAGAGAGCGCAGGCTCTCTGCTAGATTACTGAAATGGGCAGCTGCCATCCTCCTGACCTCCACAGGAAATCTCTGAGTACATTCTCTGCTCTTCTGGTAGGCGGGTGTTGGTCTGTGGCAGTCCTTGGTTTTGGCACATTACATCTTGAACCTTTTTGTTTCCCACGGTTCTACTCTTACCCTTTTTCAGGATGGCATACTGTCTGGTGTACAGCTAGTTCACCTGAGAGCACCAGCTCTTGCACTTCAGCCTCTAGCAGGGTCTAAGTCTCCCTTGCCAGGATGCCACAAGAGAGGCAGAGGATTTTACAAACATGAATAACGTAATCTTACACAGTATGAGTCCAGTGCCCTGTGCTGGACTTCCAATTCAATCTCTACTGGGATTGCTGGAGGGCTGACAGCACTTGTGCATGCACTATAGCAGGCCATGTACACTCAGGAAATCTTAACTGCTGTGTAATCGAGCTCCACATTCTTCAGCGTCTGTAGCAGTGTTGTTACAAGCAGTCCGACATAAATAAAAAACAGTGGAGTTCAGAGAAGTCTGCTCTGCACATCATTTCTCCTTCTTTGTAATTCTGTTATAGAAAGCCCTGCTGAAAGTGTGATATAGTGAGCTCCACACAATATGTATAGAAGCGTCAAATGTGAACTGTCTCCAGTAGGGGGATTAACATCAAGAAAGGCCAATAATTCAGTTTTTCCATGGGGAGTATGAGGATTTAACAAGAGTTCTCAGGAGTGAGAGTCCCTCTCTCCAGCTGCACTGTTCTGTTTTTCCCCAAGCCTCTTCTGTTTGGGCTGGGGTGACCAAGAGCAGGCTGTCCTTCCATTCAGCAAGAGAGCTGGGGTCCCAGCAGCACATCCAGAAACCCATCCCTTCAGAAAAGTAAAAGGCAGGCATCCCATAGCCTAAGAAATTATCCTTTTAATAAGACAAAGCCCTGTGGTTCTTTATATCTTCTTCTAGAGCCGTTCTTGCTTCCCACTATAGCATCAGGCTTTCCTTGTCATACATCAAAACGTCAGGTTCACTTTCTCCTAAAGGTCCTCAGAAAAACACATCACTCATGGTATCAAACTTCCAAGATATTGCAAGATAGCACTTAGAGAGGAGCCTCTGCTGTTTGTGACAGGGATTTTTTTTTTGTCTTAGAAAGTTTTCACAAGAAGTTCATTGCTTGTTTTGTTTGCTGAGATAAACAATTAATAAAACACAGAACTCTTAATACTTTGCTTTGTCTATTCCTTTTTGGCTGTGCTGTTGAAGGAACCTCTCCAGACCATGACACTAGAAGAAGCCATTAAAATTATCCAGGTTGCAGAACGGGCTCGCCAAGGCCGTCATCGAGCAGCATTCATAAAGAAAATTTACCTTGGAGAGAATAGAAAAAGACAACCTAAACTACAGGACCAGATGGGTCCAAATCCAGATGATGCTGCCACTTGCATTCAAAAGGTGAAATCTCCAATTTAACAATAGCTCCGGCAGAACCAAATGACAATGTTTTGTTCAGGAGAACAGCAGTAGGCAGAAACACAGCTCATAGGACGGGAAGCATTCTGAAACGATAGCTTTCAGGGTGTCTAGCAAGGTGAAATACATCATTTAAACCACTTAACAAAATGAGACAGGACCCTAGATAGGCATCAATGGAAACAGTCCTGCACTGGCAATACAGGATGACTTTATAACCTACACGCTGTTTTTCCATTCTGATTTTTATGACCTCAGTTGCTCTTTCTGGCATCCCCTTGGAATCTCAGGGAATTAATGCCTTTTCCTGTGATCTCTGGGGAAAGAAATAGCTTGAAAAGATGAGAAAGGGAGATCACCGCTGAATTCCAGAAAAACATTCATTATTACACATTAATAATTTAGACAATTCAGCCTGATGAGAACAGGAGCTCAGTCTAAGTCTTAAGTCCAAACACTTTTGGAACCCCTGATGTTGCTGGTTTTAGAAGCTAGATATACTAGTATGAGGGGATAACAAACCTCAGAATTTTTTTTAAACAAAAATAGCAGATGGCAACCTGTTAAAGAGTAATAGTTTCAATTGTATATTGTGCCTTTCCTTCCTCTATTTGTTTTTTCCTGTGTCTGCCACAGTAAAGGAAGCTGTAACAAGACCCATTTATCTCATTAGAGTTTTGTTTACAATTCAGGTTTGGCGTGGATATATCCAGCGCAAGAAAACAGAGAAAATGAGAGAAGAGGAAATGATATTTCTGGGGATGGTAAGTAGTGCTGCCTAGAGAATATAAAATGCCACAGCCTGTTTGTTCTTTAGACTTTTGTAATTTAGCACAAGATGAGAAATTAATTTCTAAGATTCTTCCTATTTTAAAAAGAGTCTCTAAGGAAGACAGAACTAAGCTGAAATGATAGATGGCACAGAAGTAGCACAATTTGTCTTACACCGCATGCTTTTGTGCCACATATACATAGTCCAATGTATGCAGCAGATGTGGAAACAGGAAGCGTAGAATTTGCCCTGGGTTCCAGGCCAGGCATGACAGAGCAAGGACATGTTATTAATCAGTTTTCAACTCATAATTGCAAGACACTTAAGCTACCTTATGCCTGAAGTAGAATTAAAGCAGCTAAGTCTTCTTCTCCCACCCCTTTGCAAGCCAGCGTGTATGTATGTCAAGAGTAGGGAAAAGGGACGCAACACTAATACGTCCATATTTCCCTAAGTCCCTATGGAAATAAGTGAAATATTCCTCAAGTCATACTGCAAAAGTACAGGGAAATTAACAGCTGTCCACGGTCAGTTAGATTGTGTGGGGTGAAAGAAACATACGAAAGCACCCCTTCCAGACGAAGGAACCTCTTCCTCCCACAGTCGGAGAAGGTACATCTCCTCCTCCCACCAACAGCTTCCTTCCTAGCAAGGACCTGAGAAAGACGATAAACTCTTTACCCTTGACATTGTCTTTGGCCACCACCACCAGTCCTTTGGGTGCCTTCATTAGGCAGTAATTAGGCTGTCAACCCTCACAGCTCTCTCCAACTCCAGCTCCAGTGGCACAGCCCTTGTACCAAGTTCTAGTAAAGCTGCTGCACAGCACCACCTTACAGAAACAGTCACTGCTCTGTGTTTGGTAGGTTTATATATACCTCCACGCTCTTACAGTTCATTTAATTTTGAATTAAAACATGCTTTCTGCTTCTCCCAATTTGGATTATTTTCCTGCCCAGCAAGGGAATTGCCGTTAGCTACGTTACAGGTTTATGAAAACTACTTGTGCCTATAGCATACATCTGACAAACAAGTATCAACAGTTAAGAATGACCTTAAAATCTTACCTTTAGGGAGTAACGTGCATTTACCCAAGTTTTACCACATTAAACACAGATAACACCTTACAGATTATTGCCTTTAATATCTGCTGATCATTAACAGTAAATGTGGCCAGCACAGATAAACAGAGCTTTGGGTGCTGATTCTGCCTCTGTTTAAGACAAAGAAAATTCCCAGAGATTTTAACTACTGCAGACTACTGGAAATTAATTAGAAGCTATACCTTTGGCAAAACACAGGATCGTTTCCTATCAAATCCCATGACAGTTTCTGTCGGGTCTTCAAACTAGAGTCTTTGGAAGGAAATCTAAGTCTGGTGTCAGTTATTGGAGGGTTCACAGCCAAGCACTCTTTTCATGGTGGCCAATAGTAGGAGTAACTGATAACTAGGATGTAAATAGCCTAGTCTATGGGGAGGAAATCTATATGATCATAGGGATGAAGGGAATTAAAACCAAACATATAGTGCATTTGTTTCCTGACCTCCATTTAGGCAAGAGAATTGATGTTTGCAGCTCTGCACTCAGACTCATTACTCTTTATCAAGTATATAATCAAAGAATTTAGGGAAAAAACAGATACCTCTAAATTAAAAAAAAATAATCTGTTCATCTTTCCAATGTTTTTATATTCCCTATTTGTGTTTCCCTTTTACTTTTCGTGCTACATTCCCTTCCATGGTCTCCAAAGGAAGTGAGTGGCAAGCAGGCATTGGCTCACACTGACAGATAGGCAGAGAGCCCCAAAGGTCAGGCCCCTTTGATGTATGATCACGTCAGCCCCCTAAAAAATGACCACTGATCTTCATGTGTAAATATGTTGAATTTGCTTTTCTAATGCTGCACGACTTAGATAAATTAGAAGACCTAGCCATCCATTACTCCAAGTCCATCCCAAAGGAGGCTTGACTTTTACTGCGATAAATATAATTTCTCTTATAATTATAGCTATTTAAAAAATGTCTAAGTTATTTTCATATAAAGACTACTTTGCAAAAAAGAGCTAGTGCATTTGAAGTTCAGAGTAATTATTTTTTGGAAAAACTCAGTTGTATTGGCCAAAAAAATATGGAAATATGTGCAAAGACCAGGAATTGTCCAGTCTTTTACTTAATTCACTATTATTTTCTTTACTGTCTACTTACTTCAGAAAAATTTATGCATCTTTTCTGGAATTTGGTTCTGTTTAATCTTTTGCTTGATGACAGAGTAGAAGCCTACGTTGCAAAGATTTTTCTTGGCCCAAAAGTAAAGGCTCATTATTATTATTATTTATGAAAGCTTAATTGCAGAAACAGCATGTGTTTTTCTAAATCGCCGATAAATCACAATTTGCAATACTGGTTTAATTTGCAAAGAGAAGCAAGCCTCACTAAGAGCACATATATCTTGATAACTGTATCCTGACCTGTTTCCTGATCTTCCTCACATTGCGGCCACAACGCTGTTTACTACCAGCTCCAGCATGACCACCATAACCAATGTTCCAGGCATAGGTCTGAATTTAAGCCACACTGACCACACTGATGTTGCAAGAAAACTCATTAAATTGTCTGGAAAACATGCACGGGCTGTCCAAACGAACCTCTATTTCCTTGCTCTGTTTTGAGCTCTATTCTAACATACCATTTTTTGCAGTTTTTAAACTGGTGCATACTTCCATTTGACTGTTTCTGGCGTTTATAAATTCCCCGGGTAGAGGTTGCAGTGACTGTTTCATTTTGCTGCAGTGCAAACTAACCGTCAGCCCGGTGGAACTGGATTTGTGAACTGGTTTTTGGCAACCACTTTGTCTCAGGGTGGTGCAAAACCACCCCAGCCTAAGAGCAGATCTACACTCAGCGTTCTCCCCAGCAGATGCTCGTAAGAGGGTAGACCCTGCAGGAAGTTACAATCTCAGAACACAGGCTACTGGAAAGAGGAAAAACTGGTTTTAACATAAAATGTTAGGATAAGCAGTTTGCAATCAGACTGATTTGTGGAAGGGTAGGAGGAGGATAGGAACAAGGCAGACAAAAAGACAAGACAAAATCCATCCCGATCTGGGGGCTCAGCCTAATGTTGCAACTTTGAGGCAGGATTTCTCTGAAGGCCTGGACATCCCCTTGCTCCTGTTTTCACTTGACAAGCACAGGTAATAAGTGCCATTGGACCCAAGTGCTCTACATGCTCAAACAATTTACAGGGCTGAGACCTGCAAGCTTTGGACATGTATACACATAAACACCTTCTCATCTCACAGATACATCTATTGATTTACACTCACGCAGCTCTATTCTGTAATTTCAGCCCTTACCAAAGAGTTAGTGGCACAATACATGCTGATTATTATTTTCTCACATAATATTTCCACCATTCTTCCTTCTTCTAAACTTTTCACATTAAAGGATCTATGTGGTCTTAAATAAAAAAAAGGTCTTAAAGCACTGTTCTTTCCTCCTTACCTCTTCTGAACATACCCTAATTTAGGCATGTTGTCTTGGATAATGCTTTTATTTATATCTGAGAAAACAGCCTGCCAAACATTCCTTGTTCTTTGAATTCCTGATAAATATAATCCATTTCATCCCGTCAGAAAAAAAGAAAAAAAAAATTGGCATTTCCCAGAATAGCCTTTTGTGTAAACATCAGACTATGACTAAATAAATATTATATGGGATTTAACAAACTGCAAACTCCGTAAATTCGTGAAATTTAAAATATTTCTTCAGCTCTTGACAGCGGGCAGTCACGGTAGTGCTACACACCAGGCCTGCTTTTATCAAACATAAGATTAAACTGACTTTTGTTTTACTTGCAACCCAGATGACGTTTAGATATCAGCACAAAGTTAGATGTTATTTCACCAGGCGTACTTACACATCTGAGCAGCGATAACTAATCTGTCCTGTTTTCAATAGAAATTGTAAACCCGCTTATTTTTGAGATAGAAATACGCTGGGAATCAAGAAGCCCGCTAAATAGTCTGGCTTTCATTGGCTGGAGTCACCCTAACAATGAAATCACTGCCTTTCAGAGTCCAAAAACATACTTGCCATTTTTAGTAGAAGTTTGACAGCATGCCCAGGTATAATACCAAAAATAAAAATAACTACAACTATATAAACTTATATGGTCATAAACATAAATGTTTTATCCACTTTAAATTTTCTTGCATCTTATTAAAGAGTGCTGCACGTCAATATTTTATATATGTACAATATAAATCTATAAAACAGCCATTTTCAATATTTTTCTAACAAGGCCTCTTACTACAAATGCTTTGTTTGAATGGGTATGACAATTACTTTAATTGGCAAAGCCATTGAAGTGAATCATATTGTGGGGAAGCTTTAATGAATGCAATATATTTTGTTCAGTTGTTCCTTTTTTGAGCCTAATTTAGGAATTGAGCCATATAATTGATGTGGCTATCACCATTTGTGTGCCATGGAACCTACACAAATACAATCTTCATAAGGCAAGAGACATTTTTAAAATACGCTCAGACAAAATACATTAAGGAAATGAGAAAGCAAGAACATAGCTAACTCTGATATCCAACTTTCTTTAAAGAGAGTCTGGATCATGATTTAAATTCAGTAAAGAACAGGACCACAGTTGCTTAGGTTGTGAATGCATTTAGTCTACTGGTGAGGAGTTACTCATCTGTGTAGTCCAAATGTAAAAAAAAAAATAATAAAAAATAAAAAAATAAAAATCTCACTTTCACTACTGGTGAAAAATAACTGTTAAAAGTACTTTGCTTAGGAAATAAAGCCCTTCAGAGAAGCAAACTATGCTACTTCTGAAAATGAGCAATCTACAGCAAAATGCTACACAACTCCTACACCTGCCAAAGATTCCAATTACAGACAATGCTGTCTGGAGCAGAACACATACTGAAGGAGCCCCATAAAACCATTCAGTGTGTTTCAGCTGTGCTGTTCCA